CTTTAGGTAGTCATTTTTTGCCGAATATGTTTTATGTATAAGATTAAAAAGCAGTTCATTCAAAAGCTGACACCCTGCAGAGTCCAAAATATTATATGATTAGGCCGCAAGATAATCAATATTACAACCGCGCCTAAGCAGTTCTTCCTTATCGAAAGCGTACTACAGAACTCGAGCCAAAATTTCATGAGATCGGTCACTCACTGTATTTCTCCCAGGCAATCGGCCATACCCAACCATATGCCAAGATTTGGAGGCGAAATTAAAATACACATCTTGAGGATTCGACGGATATAACGCATTGCACCAGTGCTCCCAGATTTTTGACATTACTCTGAGCCATGAAGAATTGCAGAAAAAGAGATATGGCGCATCGTGGACATCGAACAAACACTACTCTCAAAAGAAGATGAACTGTACCTTGCAGTGCAGTTTAGTTAGTTTATCTCATTCCGTGAACAATTGAATAATTTTGCCTATGAATTCCGTGAGCTCTTGATGGTTTGGCCGTCATTTCTGACGACGTCCATCGTGGCCCCACAGCAGAGTGGGCGCGGGGACGGTGACTTGCGCGTTGGTTTACGGTGAGCTAGTTGTTGAAGGGAGGTGCATTGCTCTCGTCGTTGTGACTGTTGCATGGGTCCCACTAATAAAGCAGATGCTTAGCAAATCTGTGTCACTACGAACTACTTCACGCGCAAGTCACTGGTGCTGTGCCAATCCAGTGGGCACAGGGTGGACGTCGGCTTTAAGGGTTCGACTTTGCGAAAAACGTCCGCGCAAAAAGTGCTACTAAAATTTTATAGTAAGATGATATGTCTCCAATAAAATCACAAAGTCCGACCAAGTGTTCTTCCTGGAGATGGGGGGAGATTTTGGGCGCACCTCACTGTTGGTAGATGTGTCCACCCTCGATCCGTAGTTGTAAAGTGATTATTTTGCGCTGTATTTGGGCGGTTCGCACCAATGTCAGTCAACCGCAGCGGCATTCGAGACGCTGCTGCAAGGCAAACACGGTCCAAAAAACACATCACCAACTAGGCGGTGTACTTCACCGGTCCCCATCCCAATGCATCCGAACAAATTGTTCTTAATTTGACTGCGAAAACTACCTGATGAATTAATATTCCACTATCGGACTTTCTTATACACAGACTAGAAAGGCAGTCGTCATCAGTACCTACGCGCTCTGCGGATTTGCCAACGTCGGGTCAGTCGGCGTGCTGCTAGGCTACTTCGTGCGACTACTGCCACACAAAAATAAAGACCTCGCAAGGATGGTTCTGCGCGCAATGATTGGTGGAATTATCGCGGCCTGCATCACCGGCTGCTTTGCAGGTAGTCCTTTCCCCTGCCCCTCCCCCTCCCATCCTGTTGTCCCAGAGGCCCTCCTAAAGTAAGGACGGCGAACAAGGTCCGGAAAAAAAGGCCAAAGACGGCCTATTAGGCAGATTATGCAGCGACAATACCGAAGTTGGATGCGTGTTTGAGGTTTCAGAAAACTTGCAATCTCCTCATCAGTAGCAAGTCTCGGTGTGAAATAGCCGTCGGATTTTCTTCGCTCACCAACGTGAGCAGTAGTCCTAAACCCCGAACTCGATTATGGCTGTATCAGTGCCAATCCCTGCTTTTGTCGGTGAAATCAGCAGAAGACGAACTGAAAGAATAAACAAAAAACCACTGTATAACTGGCGTCGCGTTCAAAAAGAACGGCGGTCATGTTACTTGTTCCTGGGGCGCAGTTTCTCCTTACGCAGACACAGTCGATGACTCAATAGCTGGTCACAAAATATTTATAAACTTACAGAGACCGTTGTGAAAAGTAAATCGACACTCGGAAATCGCCAGTCCACCTCTTCGGCGTTGCTCTCCCTCTCTTGACCAAGATACCAAGAGTCCGGACAAATTCAAGGAACTAAGAGGCTCTTCAAACATTCAACCCGATAATCTCCCTTCTGATAGAAGCGAACGGGCGAATCCCAGGTAGCAGTTCAGAAGATGAAGATGCGATCACTGGGACAAAAAGTTTATTTGCCTGACGTTTCGGATTCTCACTCGAACCCATCATCAGAGACATTCGCAGATAGAGGTCTCCCTTCTGTTAATACCAGTCCCTCGTCAATTAAATTACCAGGGTATTGTTTTTCTTCCATTTCAGGACTTCTCTACGATCCGCTACTATGAAACAGCCCATCTTTTATGACGTCGGCAGGCCCAACAACCCATCCATATCGCAATCCCCTCCTTCCTCGGACATATGCCCAGCACACATCCATCCAAATAAACACGCACGCATTTGTTAGCATCAAAATGCCACAACAATCATTTCGGAGTCCAGACACCTGCACGCGCTCAAATTGGTGTCTCCTATTTGGTCTAGTTGTCCACTACTTGATACTGCCATTGGAATAAAATGTGTCGTGTTCCGCTCTCTTATCTTCCTTTTTATGAGCAGGCGTGCATCGAGGGGATGATAAAAGTGAGACCGTCATCAAACAAGAGGAAGGCGGGTTGAGACACCACCTATTCAGACTTCCCATACTCTCTGCCGGTCGCATTCCCGACCAAAACCTGCAACTAGAGACGGCGCATCAATCTGTACCTGAAAATTCCTCACCCCTAGGAGCTCTTCGCGACATCGGCACCGTCGTTCGCTGTCCACTGATTGCGATACTGACACAAGACATGACGGCCCAAACAGTCGTCTGGTCCGAAGCGCAGTTTGGTAAAGTAGGAGCTGTCTGAGCAGCAGAACCATAGAAACGTAGACTTGGCATATGAGTGATCGGAATTATGCCAGAATGTCAAGCATTATGTTAGACAGGTTCAACCAGTGCCAGGCAGGGCGTTTGTCACACCACCCCAGGACTCAGTTCTTTCCGACTCACTCCGCTACCTGCATGGTGAATTGTAGTGGTAAATTGTTACTGCTCGAGCCTAATACGTACTCCGATGGGTACTTGAAATAATATCGTCTGTCGTATAAATCGGCTTGCAGGCGTGCTCGGCGCAGCGATTATCCGGACGGCCGCGCTGGAGGTTGACGTAATGTAGACGTACACACACCACGACGCATATAAAACCCGTGGCGGTTCAAACTTGAAATGGCGGATAGGAACCGGATGACCCTTGCATCTGCTCGTTGTGAGGCCTGAAACTTGCCTTAGACCACTTGCCGAAGATAAAACAAAGTTCTTGTCCAAATGATAGGCAACTCCACCTTATCTGTGCGTGCAGCCTTCAGACTGAGCAAAGTTACCATTTGCAAGTCTAAGTGCTCAGGTTCCCCCCCCCCCCCCTTGGTGACCTACTTACCTACAAGCAGTGAGGCTAGAACTTTCCGTCTGTTGCTTATCTTTCCCGAGGTGTCCACAAAACGTGCGAGAAAATGCCCCCCCCCTCATGCTCCCCGCGCTGTCCGATACTCTCCCTTAGATATCCACGTGTGCTTGACCGAGGACATGCAACAATGGTCCCTGTCTTTGATGGCCCCGGGCGTGGAACCTTGACAGTTCAAGCAAGACGCCGACGTAGGGCCGAGGACAGTGCAAACGGTCCCAATGTCGGTGATAGTGGAGGCAGCACTCGGCTGGAACCGGCTGAGACGCCTCTTAGTGTCCAATACGGTCTGAAATTGTACGTATGGTTGCCTGATCTCAACGCTGGAGTTTACAAACGTGCCGAGCTTACCACACGCCTAGGTGCAAAAAGGAGCGGCCAGTGGAGGTGCTTTACCCGGATATCCCTATTTTGAATAAACTACTACCCCAGACCATCTCTGACCGGGTGTGCGTTTTAATGATAAGGTCTGGCGTTCCCATTTATAATGGTAGGTGAGTGCCACCTCACTATCAATCGGCATTGTAGACTGGGCAATTAGATACTTTAAAATGGTTGCCGGTCGGTGGAGACTGACTCGTCTTACATCGACACGGAACCATCCTCTAGAGTATGAACTGTCCATCGAGGATGGACGGTTTACGCAAGGTTGACAGACCTAGCGCTTTAAAAAAACAGCTGACAATGACTACCGCGCCATTTGAGTGAGTTACGTAAATCAGACGCGAAACAGCCCCGGGAGGCGTAGCACTCCGAGTACGGAAGGGCGTATGACAACGAATGGCAACCTGTGCGACCCTCACCAAAAACAGCTAATGTCATGACAGCACAAGATCCCAGAACGACACAACGCTCCTGCTTGTGCTTGAAAAAGTTACCTCACTAGCTAGCGGTGCGAGAGATTGGGAAACGGCATTTCGTGCCCGTCCACCGAGCGCCCACGTGGTGGTTGTAGTTCGCGTTATTTTTGTAGGACCGAGAAACAGCATGACTAAGTTGCCCCCTATTATTCAAAACTGCCGAAGTGTCGGAGGGCCTCATGGATCGTAATTATTTTCCCTCGCATCCTGGCCGTGGTCCTTTTCTCCATGCATTATAGATGGGTAACGTTACAGTTTAGCAATGACAAATGAATTACGGTCCAGAAATATTGTATCTAGGTAAAGGAAAATCTAGTGTGCACAGCTTCCCCAAACTAAGGAACCTACTGTATCGGGGGATTTTCAGTCCGGAGTTCTTGCGTCCGGGATGACAAAAACCCCGACGGATGGTCGTTGTAGTGAACTAGGTGATCACGAGTCCTACACACGTCTTTTGGAGCTGCTAAATATTAAAGTTTAAGTGGTCGAGGGTACTTGTAGTCACAATTCTATCGGCAATCCGTAGAAAAATCCACGCGACACGAGGCACCATTTACTAGTCGCAAGAAGCTAATGGACAAGGCTCCAGTGCCTGCTATTTTATGCGTGCTCACGGTAGACGGTAACGGATGCGGACCCCAGTGGTGTGGAGGAAAATCGAACTACAGCTTCCAGAGTTGCTACCTCATGTAATCTTAAGACGATCCCGTGCAGTCCATACCGACAATACAACGCTCAAAAGGCAAAAACAAGCAGACTAAACTGTTTACCTTCCCCACATTTATTTAACGCATATACAACTTATCGGTTTGACTTTGCAACACGTTCCAACTCGTCCTTCTTCTTTATAGCATAGGAATTGGAACTCCCTTTAGATGCGTTGATAAGCTCGTCCGCAAGACACTCGGCGATGGTTTTGACGTTGCGGAAAGCGGCTTCGCGTGCACCAGTGCAAAGCAATTGGATGGCCTGGTTGACACGACGGAGAGGCGAGACATCCACGGCCTGACGACGAACAGTGCCTCCACGACCGATTCTAGTAGAGTCCTCGCGAGCACCGCTATTCACAATAGCATTCACCATCACCTGGATGGGGTTCTGGGTGTGGAAAGGGATTACACAATTTACACTTAATCGCGCAAACCTATGAGACGTCATCGAAACCGGTTTCCGAAGCATAAAATCCCAAAACAGATTGGGAAAAATAGAGGCAGCTTAAATTAGGCTACGATATGACCCATTAATTTAAAATAATAAGCCAGAGATTCGAACAAAATCAGCACTTTCAAGGGGGTGACGTACCTCACCGGTAAGAAGATTGATAAGCTCAAAAGCGTGCTTCAGAATGTTGAGGGCCTTAATCTTCTTGCCGTTGTTGCGACCGTGCATCATGAGAGAGTTGCAAACGCGCTCCACGATAGGACAGAGGGATTTGCGGAAGCGTTTTGTCTGATAACGACCGGCTGTGTGAGGCAGCAGGGGGTGCTGCTTGTAGATAGCCATGTGGTCACCTAAACCCATTTCAGGAGACTGGACGTTCTCCGTCGACCATTTCCCAAAGAGCCTCATGTCAGCAGTCGCGACCATGCGCGTCATCTGGGCGTAAAAAGTGAACAGTGCAAATATTGCGCTGGTCTAAAATGTGACCCTATTTAAGTCTTCGTGGCCGGTTAAATAGGCACATCCGAGTCTGTATTTGTGAATGAAGTGATCTCAGTCGCCAATAAAGATAAAGGAATTATTAGCAGGTCGACGAGCCCGGCAGGAAAACACGCAAGCCAAGAGGTGGGCGAGACTGGAAGGGATAACTCTGCGGTATCGTTGAACTCGAGGTCGAAATTCAGCTGGAAGCAGAATAAGTATCGCAAGCACTGTTTGCGGATAAAGGCGTCGCGGTCATGAGACACAGGCAACTCTGTGGTGTTAGGTGACGCGCTACTTCCGGAGAACCTCTTGAAACATACCAGATAGAAGCAGTACAACTCAAACAATCCATCCGACTAACTAAAAACAGCCTAAAACAGCAGCCAAAGAGGCACAAAGGGCTATTCCCTTATCCTAGAGTATGACTGGGATCTCCACCTCAAGGCCTGCCATCTCGTGGAGCCAGTAAATGAAAACGTTCAATGCAACTGCGTAATGCAATCCACTGTTAAGTGTTTGCCTCTTTGCTGTGGACTAAGTGGGAATATGTCCCAATTCAAGACACCAAAGGGTGCGTCTCTACTGGCACAACGAAGTCGGGAATAAATACCAATAAATTTAATAGGCCGTCGGTCCCCGAAATTGCCATGCATCTGTGACATCAAACATAAAATCACAAACAGGAAATATCATGCGAACTACCTTCGGTATATGCCAAGGAGGATGAAAAATGCGTGCTCGCTGACCGATTCAAAAAGTGAACAGCATCAGGTTAAAACAAACCCAATGCAATAGACGCACATTTTAGAAAGGACTGGGAGGTACTCAGTTCCCTAAATATATCAGGTTATTTTCGGACGACACGGTCTTAAGCTTTACCTCATGTGGATCTTTGGAACTTTTTCGTTGGAAATGTCTTCGAAGCCTAGCCTAAGCGACGGCTCTCTTTAACTGACATAACTTAACGTAGACGTGGAGTGAGATCCTCACAGGATAACTGCACGCACAAGTACAGTAGCCCTCTTCCTATCCAATTTATTCCACTGGTCAGTACCATGTAGCAGGAGCTCTGTTTCTGAGCAGTATTCAGGTGGTGACACGTAAGATTTGCGCATAGAACACAGAAGGGTTTTTTGGTGCATACTCGCAGACCCCTTAGAAGCAGCCTACAGAGTCCATCTAAACACAAACTTTTTACATCTCCGATTAAATAGGAAAAAAACTAGCTTATAACCTCCAAATCTCGATACTTATCTAACTATTTATAGTTTTATTTTTATTCCTTAGTCATCCTGGGAATTGAAATCATCTCGCATTTCGTTTTCATGAAAATTAAAGTCTTTTATTTTTTTCAGTATCAGTATCAATGTATTTCAAAAGAAAGTAGGTGTGTACCTTCGAAATCCCTATTGGTTACATGCAGAGGAAGTATACAGAGAAAATGGAAAGGAAGTAGCATGAAAGAGATACAAGAGGAATAACAAAAACTGTACAGATGGCCACAGAATGACATACGTTAACTGAATTTAGACGCACATGAACTTGGTTTGTTGATTAAATGCAGTAGACAGTTGAAGCACACTTAAGATACAGGAAAAGAAGTAACATTTTTTAGTCTACAGGCATCGTGGTGAATGCGAGCAGCGATGTGCGACGTGGTCCAAAATTAATACATTACATAAACACATGTTACTTGAATGTTGGTAGTGACATCGTCATGACACTAAATTGTCAGCGTTGGCCATCAAGGTGACCGTAGTCCGGCGTTATTGTGGTGCGCGCTCCAAAGTTGATCTAACCTCCGTTTAAAAGTATCTACGGATCCCGGCATAACAACATCTTCAGGCTAAGTATTCCAAGCTACAACCACTCTGTTGAAGAAGAACTTTTGTGTGTCTGGCCGGGCACCAGTCACACGCAGTTTGAGTGGGTGGTCTCTCAGGTTAGTCGTAGTCGTCAACTCGAAGAAGTCTTCAGATGCGGGGCAGCAGCCCTGATTGCGCACAATGCGGAAAGCTTGTATCAGGTCCCCACGTAGCTGTCTGTAACTCAAAGGAAAGAGGTCAAGATTGGCTAATCGTGTTTCGTTGGGCAGTGACCACTGCCCAGATACAAGTTTCGTTGTTCGCCGTTGAACTTTTTCAAGTATGCCGAAGTCTTTAGCGGTCCAGGATCTCCATGCTTGGATAGCAAACTCCAGATGCGGTCGCACGAAAGTTTGAAAGGCCTTTGCGAAACACTCTTCATCAAAGGAGGAGAACGCCCGTTTGATGAGGTATAGAATGGACATCGCTGACTTGGCCACCTTTGAACATTGCAGCGAAGGCTTAAGCAAGGTTGTGATCCGTACACCCAAGTCCTTCTGGGCGTCGACTTCTTGCAGTGGTTTGCCAGTTGGACGGTAGACCGTGCGGTTAGGAGAACTGGTCCTGCCGACGCGTAGGAAATTACCCTTGTTTACGTTGAACGGTAGAAGCCAGTCTTTTGACCATTGCTCGAGGTGGTCCAGATTTGTCTGCAGTCGCGCCTCGTCAACTTCGCTTCGTATGGTACTCCAGATCTTTATGTCATCGGCAAACATTGCAACATCGCAATTCAGTTCGTTTGCGCAGTCATTGACGTATACGAGGAACAGTTTAGGGCCAAGAACAGAGCCTTGGGGAACACCAATCCAAACGGCAACCTCGGCAGATTGCTGGTCACTGACGTGGACGGCTTGAGAGCGGCCGATTAAAAAACTCCGAATCCACATCAGAAGCTTACCTCGCACTCTTACACGGCTAAGTTTGTATAGAAGGCGGTGGTGAGGCACACTATCGAAGGCCTTTTTAGAGTCGATATAGATGACATGCACCATATCTCCTCTATCAACAGCCCTAGTCCAGTGTTCAGTTCAGTTTATTGAGGGAAATAGGCGTACGCCTTTGAGTACCCTATTTACAACGCAAAAAATGTGTGGTATACACATAAATGTTCTGGGCTGAAATAGTTAAAACACGCCCATAGTGATAGGACAAAATGAGAACGAGTTACAGGGGGTGAGCTCTGCTTCTCATCGCTCTTCGTCATTTCGCAACATAAATATGTCCAAATTCTTCTTAAAATTTTGTATAGATGGTGACATCACAACATCTGCGGGAAGGGCATTCCAGGGTTTGACCAATCGAACAGAGAAGGAGAACTTCCTCACATCCAGCCGTGCCTGCTGAGTGCGCAGTTTTAACGGGTGACCTCGTAGGTTGGTCGTGGTAGCAAATTCAAAAAAGTCTTCGAAGGCTAGGCTGCAATCCAACCCCTTTACCATGCGGAAGGCTTGCAAGAGATCCACGCGAAGTTGCCTGTAACTCAAAGGAAAGAGGTTCAGATTTACTAGGCGGGTTGCATAAGGAAAGGAGCTTTGACCCCTAACCATCTTCGTGGCACTCCTCTGGACCCTTTCGAGGCAGTTTTGATCCTCAACAGCCCACGGCCTCCAGGCTTGTATGCCGTACTCTAAATGCGGCCGAACGAATGTTCCGAATGTCTCTGAGAAAGCATCTTCGTCAAAGTCCATAAACGCACGCTTGATGGCGTACAATACAGACATTGCGTTTTTTGGGACCCTCCAGACAGTAGAGCAGGTTTGTCACACAGGAGCTGCTTTTGTGGCAGATATCCGGTCTCGAAAGATGTATGGAAAAGCATGTAGAGTGGCTTATACAACTCACTGGCGAGTTCCTTCAAAATCTTCGCCGGAATCTCATGGGGACCTGGTGATTTGGATTTCTTTAGCCTCAGCAACTCCGTCAGAACCATACCCTCAGTGAACTGAACGGTCTCCATAACTGTGGTGTCTTCGAAGTGTTGAAGGGCCGAAGGGTTGAATCCTGTTTCACTACTAAAAACAGACCGAAAAAAATTCTGAAAGGTGATCAGCTTTCGCTCTGTCTTCAGTGAGATGTTCACCTTCAGCAGTCTTTAGCAGAGGTATTGGGTCCTTGTTCCGCGTGCACTGCCTTATGTAACCGTAGAATAATTTAGGGTTATCCGCGGAAAGGTTAAGCAGATCCCGTTCGAATTCCCTTCTAGTTTTGAGGGTAAGGCCTTTGACTCGATTTCTTTGAATTTTGTACGCGCACATATATGTGGGGCTCCTGTCAGAAAGCGATTTTTCCCACAGCCTTCGTTTTTTATTCATTTCATTCATCAAGGCTTGCGTAAGCCTTTGAGGTCTGTAAGTTTGCCTCTTCCGTGAAAGCGGACAGTGGTTTACGTTCAGCACGTGCAGAATTTCTCGGAACCGTTGCCAATCTTCGAGTATGCTTCCAACAAATACGGACTCCCACTCAATGCGTGAAATTTCAGCTCTCATTTGGTCGGAATCTCCGCGCCAAAGGTTTCTTCTTACTGTCACGGGTTTCTCGGGCATGGAAAAAAGCGAGTAATCCCATAGAAGAACGATGTGGTCACTTTTACCTAAGGGGGATAGGCATGACACTTCGTAAGGACAAGATCAAGGCAGTTGGCTTGTTGGCCTTCGCGTACTCTAGTTGGCAACATGACGTGTTGAGTGATAAATAACTTCAGTGTCGTGTTCAGAAAACTCTTATTGAAGGTCTGTTCTGAGCTATTTGCATAGGTCGAGCTCCAGTCAATATGAGACGCGTTAAAGTCGCCCATTATCAAGATATCGGGCCGCGTAGCGAACTTTTCGAGCTCCTCCAGCAGGCGGGCGTCGGCCATGTTTTCCCGTCTCGACGGTCGATAAACTGTCAGGACATCGAGGTTAGGCGAGCTCGGAACTTTAGTAGACAGCCAGATTGTCTCGGAACTGCACGAAAATTTATCGGTTTTGTCTGATACATTTATTCCATTTTTCACATACGAGATTATGCCTCCTCCCTGACGCCCTTCCCTATCCCTTCTAAACATCTGGTAGTCAGGCAAGGCCAACTCACGGTCGTCCACGTGTTGGGTCAACCAGGTTTCTGTTAAAGAAATTACGTCACGGGATAGAGCGCAGTGGTGGATCTTCAGCTCGACGAACTTTGACAACAAACTCTGCATGTTGGTGTATAAGAATTTCAATTTCCGGCTGACGGCAGATGTGGTTACATTTTGGTTAGCGTCTTCACTCAATATGTCGGCTGCGCGGCCATTCGGACTGGATCTGTCCAAAGGAAGAGTGACGGACACCGCCGTACTTGGTTTTTGTATATAACTAAATCGTTCTCCCCCTCGGTAAGCCTCTTTGTTAGTTCTAGAACTAGCTGACGACGTCTGAGCCGTTCCGCTGGCGAGTGGTCCGGTTGAAAAAAAAACACCTGGGTTGGAGCTTTTATTCCGAATCGCCTGGAGTGAATGAGACTGGCTTGGTCGCTGCTGGCCAGCACAACTTTAAGAGGCCGGGAACGAATAGATATTGATGTATTATCTGCTCGTTTTCCAAGGCGGAAGGGTTTGATCACTTCAATAGACTCCGTGGGTTCCAAAATATTATTGAAAAGACCTTGGAAGTGTGATAGGTCTTCCGAAACCCGATCCTTGGGAGTATTTGCACTTGATTCAGGGAGCCCCTGAATTATAAGACATTCTTTCTATGCCTTTCTCTTGTTTATTTTCGACGGAAGTGTGGTTCCCTAAATGGTGTAACGCTCTGGAATTATGCGCTGGTGATGGTGGATCAGATGCGCTTACGCCGTCTGTTTGTTTGACTCTTATGCTGACAACCTTGGAAGAAACGCTTGGCAGGGAAGACTGTGAATAGAACTCTGTGGCTCTGATGGATGAATCGATTCCGCCGCTCGTACTAGGTCTGTCAAGCTCGGACTGTTTCAGTGAATCAGCAAAGGTGTTTGGACACACAACATTTGCCATGAGGGACGGAGCGACCGTCAATGTCCCTGTTTCGGCCTCTTGGGAGGCATCTTCCAGAAGTAGATAGATAGATAGATAATTTTTATTAAAGACCCGTCGGGGTCCCATCAAAGCAAGTTAAAATAAATTTACATGCGAGTTTTAGACGAGGTAGGCCGAATCTTTACAAAATGCAATTCATAGTTTCTAAATTAGAAGTCCATTGAGAAACATGATGATTGAGGGGTGAAAAAAAACTCCTTACAAAAAGTTAAAAATTATTGGATTGATTTTACAGGAGAAAAAAACCCTCAATAAAAATAATGACAGAAAAAAACGAGCACGACTGGCCTGTAGGTGACGGTATATAACGGAATGTTGTCGGTCATCGTCAGGGTAGCAATAAATGTCAGCCCTGCTGCGTACGGATGTGGGTCAGACAGGACTGGCTTGCATATGGCATTGTATAAGGGATTCACAATTGAGATCGTCTGGGCCCGATTGGTACGCCGCGTCAAAGAGGCCAGACGAGAGGAACCCAGATGCGATCGGCCACAGCACGCTTCGAGCTCAGCCGAGCAGTGGGGAAGGGAGGTACGACCGAACTACTAGTAGACGGCGAATACTGAGGGTTCCGCCGTGAGCGCCGACAGATCGCATGAGGTCGGAATGCGGGAGATGACATCAAAAACCGCGAAAATTGTCGCTATGGGGGGGAGTGATAGCAGTGGATTTAGAAACCAAATTAAAAACAGGGGTATCTACTGATATAATTAAGAGTTTCCACTTAATCTACCACTAAATCCCAGGAGGACCCTTCTCGAAGTCAAGAATCTGAGTGTTCGGGAATGAGACCATTAACAGTGCCTTTATGCTTTCCGGTGTAAGATGGTTGCGTAATTTCGACTTGAATATCAGTAACCTAGGCGATAATCTAATTTCAGGCGGGAGATTATTCTAAAGGAAGGCATATTTGGAAGCAAAGAAGAGGGGGCGCTTAGATGTAGTACAAGGAGGCGGCGGAATCACCATGCAGGAGTTGCGCGTGGCATAAGACCGATCTCTCGGAGTGAGAGTGTCAATGAGCGGAAGACTGGAGCTAGAGTTGATGCGAAAAAGGAAGTAAAGGCCAGCTTCGAGACATCTTACCCACAAAAACTCAATGCTTGCAAACTGAAATCTCTGAGTATAAGAAATACCGGACGAAGCTTAAGAGAACAGTTTCCGGGTGAAAACCCTCTGAACATCTTCAATTTTATTACGGTCGCAGGCGTTCATTAAACCGAAGAAAGGACAGCAGTATTCGAGGACTGGAAGAACAAACATTTGATAAAGTCTTAACTTCATTTCCGGAAGGAAAAAATTATGCGATATGAATCCACATATCTGCGCAGCTTTGGCAGAGATTCTATCTGCATGAGGTGATAAAGCAAGCTTATTTGTATAACTTAGACCTAGGTCCTTTATGGTGAAGCATTCTGAGAGTGGGTTATTCTGAAAAATTATGGGACCAGGAAGTTTGGTAGGACCAAAAGACATGAAACTACACTTGGATGATGAAAACTCCATCTGCCATGTCAAACCCCATCTGCTTAAGCGTAATAAATCGGCATTAATTTTTTCAACACAAACATTTGCCGTGTCCTTAGAGTATGAGTAAACACACTTGAGGTCATCGGCATAAGTAAAAGTTTGCGAATTTCCGAGTTCAGTCGAAACATCATTGATATACAGAAGGAAGAGTAGCGGACCCAGAACCGTGCCTTGAAGTACGCCACTCGTGATCGAGTGGGGTGTCGAGTAGCTATTACCGACCATGACTTTCTGATATCGGTTGGACACATAGGACCTGATGAAGTCGAGTAGAGGCGGCCGGATGCCGAGAGCTTCCAATTTTACTAAAAGACGCCTTTGGGG